GGGACCTCCTGGAGGGATCTGGGGGGACTTGAGGGGTTGGAGGGACCTCCTGGAGGGATCTGGGGGGACATGAGGGGATGGAGGGACCTCCTGGAGGGATCGGGGGGGACTTGAGGGACCTCCTGGAGGGATCTGAAGGTCTTACCTGGTGGTTGGAAGGAACTGAGGGTTCCCCAGAGGACTAAGCAGGGAAGAACCTGAGGTTGGAGGAGATGGGTGGGATGGAGGTGGAGAGATGGAGCAGCTCCAAGAGGAACCAACCAGATGTTTCTCCTTCCACCCAAGGAGAAGCTCCAGGCCCACCTGAAGATCCTGAAGGAGAAGAAGGAAAAGCTCCTGGAGCTGAAAGGGGCTGAGGAGGGAAAAAACCTGGAGCTCCTGGTGAGTCTCCAACCCTGGGTGACCAGGACCTTTCTCCAGGTCCTGAAAGGACCAGTTTTGACCCTCAACTGACCCATTTGAGCCCTGAAATGGTCCACGTTGACCTTCCCACCCACCAGCTCTGGTTGTCCACGCAGGAAAGGGTGGAACTGGAGAGGCAGAAGGTGGTGGGGGAAGCCCAGAAGCTCCACCAGCTCCTGGAGGAGCAGGAAAGTCTCCTCCTGGGTCGTTTGGCCAAGTTGGACCAGGAGATCCTGAGGAGGAAGGAGAAAAAGGTCCAGGAGCTCCTGGAGGGCATCTCCTCCCTGGAGCAGCAGATCCAGGAGCTGGAGGAGAAGTGTCAACAACCAGCCTGGGAACTCCTGCAGGTGGGGACCCTGGGGAACCTTCTGAGGTGGGAAAAGGGGAGGGGAGATGGAGGTTCTCCTGGAGCACCTTTGGGTGGTGGGGGGACCTCCTGGAGGGATCTGGGGGGACTTGAGGGGCTGGAGGGACCTCCTGGAGGGATCTGGGGAGACTTGAGGGGCTGGAGGGACCTCCTGGGAGGATCTGGGGGGACTTGAGGGACCTTCTGGAGGGATCTAGGGGGACTTGAGGGGTTGGAGGGACCTCCTGGGAGGATCTGGGGGGAATTGAAGGACCTTCTGGAGGGATCTGGGGGGACTTGAGGTGCTGGAGGGACCTCCTGGAGGGATCTGGGGGGACCTGAGGTGCCACCAGGCCCTGATGCACCTTTGGGAGAGGTTCTTTTTGGGGTCTAAACATGGTCTTCAGCCATGCCAAGATGGCTGCCACCACTAAAGGTCCCTCTCCCTCCCCTTTGCAGGACAGCAGGAACATCTGGAGAAGGTTGGTGGCTCCTCTCACTCCTCCTCACTGGTGGCCCATGATTTTGGGGACACAAATGTCCTCCCAGACCCCCCCCCCTCCAACTCGTGGTCCTTTCAGGAGGCCACACAAGGTCCAAGGAGGGTGTTGAGGAGCAAGGAAGGGTCACCAAGTGATGGTGCCTCCTCCATGACCTCCTCAATCACCTGGAGGTGGAAGGATTTGGGGTCTTGAGGACCATCCAAGGTGGGAGGGAAGCCAAGGCTGAACTTCCCTCCCCCTTCCTTGTGTCCTCTTAGGACATGGATGGAGATGATGGGTCAATGGGAGGACAAAACTGGCCCCAAAAAGGCCTTTTTTTCCTCCATCTCCTGGACTTGCCTTGGTGGAGGTTGGTGCTTGGTGACCACCAGGAGCAGGATGGTCCTGGCCTGAAAGCTTCTTCCTCCTTTCCAGGCTGGAGAAAGATGGTGGCCAGAAGGCAACTGGGGTGGGACAGGAACCCCCGGGGCTTCCTGAGGAGAAGGTGGCCCTGAGGGAGGTGCTGAGGAGACACCGAGGTAGGAACCAGGGACTTGAGGGGCTGGAGGGACCTCCTGGAGGGATCTGGGGGGGCTTGAGGGGCTGGAGGGACCTCCTGGAGGGATCTGGGGGGGCTTGAGGGGCTGGAGGGACCTCCTGGAGGGATCTGGAACCTCCTCAATCTCCTTGAACCTCCTCAACCTTCTTGAACCCTTGAACCTTCTTGAAACTCTTGAACCTTCTCAAACCTTCTTGGATCTCTTGAACCTTCTTGGATCTCTTGAACCTCCTCAATCTCCTTGAACCTCCTTGCACCCCCTCAACCTTCTTGAACCTCCTCAACCTTCTTGAACCCTTGAACCTTCTTGAAACTCTTGAACCTTCTCAAACCTTCTCGGATCTTCTTGAACCTTCTTGAACCTCCTCAGCCTTCTTGAACCTTCTTGGATCTCTTGAACCTTCTTGAAACTCTTGAACCTTCTCAAATCTTCTTGGATCTTCTTGAACCTTCTTGGATCTTCTTGGATCTCTTGAACTTCCTCAACCTCCTTGAACATCCTCAATCTCCTTGAACCTCCTCAATCTTCTTGGATCTCCTGAACCTTCTTGAACCCTTGAACCTTCTCAAACCTTCTCGGATCTTCTTGAACCTCTTCAACCCTCTTGAACCTCCTCAGCCTTCTTGGACCTTCTTGGATCTCTTGAACCTTCTTGGATCTCTTGAACCTTCTTGGATCTCTTGAACCTTCTTGGATCTCTTGAACCTTCTTGGATCTCTTGAACCTTCTTGGATCTCTTGAACCTTCTTGGATCTCTTGAACCTTCTTGGATCTCTTGAACCTCCTCAATCTCCTTGAACCTCCTCAACCTTCTTGAACCCTTGAACCTTCTTGAAACTCTTGAACCTTCTCAAACCTTCTTGGATCTCTTGAACCTTCTCAAACCTTCTTGGATCTCTTGAACCTTCT